TTTTTAAACAGTTTTTAAATACAATTAAAATATTTAAAAATAATGTATGATACATTCTGGCTACTGTTATGATACTTATGCTATTTCACGCTTTCATTTAATTTGATGTTTACTGAGCAGCCTTTTTAATCTTGTTCATCTCGCAACAAAGAGTAATTTATATTAACTACCTACCTAAGTAATCTGAACGGAAAGCCACTTAAAATACAAGTTTTTTTGATTTAATCAAAATTATGTGAAACTCGATCTAACATTTAACTTTCTAAGTTGTATATCAAATTTTCTCGCTCCAACCTGAGCAAAATTTGACAACTTTTCTCCTCGCCCCTAGGACAATACCGACAATATTTATAGCTCTAATTACAAACAACAGCAGCTCACACAGACAACAGAAACAACAAGTAGAACAGCAGTCACGCCGCACTGGGAGTATCAGAAGAGCGTAATATCAACTGCGCAGCAAAAAAGAAAGAAAAGGGAGAAGCAGAATAGGATAAACTGGGGACGTAATACTGCGACCATAAGCCACAATTTCCGCGACGCCGAAAAACAGTTTAACTGTCAAAAATGACAAATAGCTCGCTGAGGATTTAATTTTAAATGCAGTTGCGCTTCAGTTTTGCATTGCAGTGGAAATTAACTAAGAGTGCGCAAAAACGTTAGCGGGGAAAACTGTGACTGGCCACCGTTAGACGGAAAAACCCACTCCCATCCCCCGCCCAGGTTCAACAAACCATGGCAACAAACATCAGCAGCAGCAGCAGCAGCAACAACCACCGAAAATCTTGGCAAAAGTAACGAAACGGAAGTGGAATTAAAAACGCGAAGGGAACACCTTGCTGCAAGGGGATTTTAAAGGGGGAGGATGGGGTGGGGAAGAGGTTTTGGCTAGGAGGGGTGCGTCTGTGACAGGCAAAAGGGGTGCAATGCGCTTTACGGCCTTTGGTCACATAGCAATGCGGCCTTTCATCTACGTACGGAAAATTACGATTGCACAATAAAGAAAAATATAAATGGAAGGGAAAAAGGATTTCTCAGTACGAATTAACAGAGGTGGATCACACACATACATATATATATATAGGTATATATAAATTAATCGTATACTCAATGTTCAGTCAGACGTTTTATTGCAATTTCAAATATGTCCATGGACATGTCCACAACGCACGTGCCCCGCGTGCAACACAGCCGACCCGGGGGTCGCTCGCATCTATCCGCTTATTAAAAATATTTGTTTATGTTTGCGTTTCTATCTGTCGCTTGGCATTGTCTTGCCTAATGATGTTTACGACTCGCTCGGCCATATAATTAAATTTTTAGACATCCACATTTTTCAACATCAACGCACATTAAACACACATGCCAAGAGCTTTGTGGGGCTGCAGATACACAGATCTGGAGAAAAGCAGAGCTGGGCTTGGCTTGCACAAATGAGTTAATCAAAGGTGGGTCATGATGTAATAACTTGGAACAAAGGTGCACACCGCGCTTTCACTTTGAAAATTCTTATAGCTGATGCTGAGAGCTGTTATATTGATTATTGTTAGCTATAGTATGAATATACTTTCAAAATATATATGCTGTGAAGCTTAAATTATTTTTGACGCATTTATATCAAACTGTGCTTGAGCTTAAATATACTTAAATTAGAAATAATTTAAGTTGTGCATAAAATTTATGTATATGAAAGAGTTTATATATAAACAAATTTGAATTAATTAACATTTTGAAATATAAACTAACAATAAATAATAATATTAAAAATTTAAAAAGAAATTATTTTAAATACTATCTATAAAATTCTTTATTCAACAATTATGTTATAAATAAATTATAATGAAAAGTGAAATAAGTAATTATAATAAATAATAAAAACCAGTTATTTTGTAAGTATCTCCAGCTTACAAATTGTATTGAGAGGCATTCCTCAACTATTGATTAGCCGCCGTAACGATTTTCTAAGTGTTCATTAGCGTCGGCATTCGGGTACTAAGAGCAACGGCTTAGTGGCACCTCTCTATGCGCTTCTCACACGCAGCTGTTTCCCTTTACTCTATGTGCCATGTAATTGCAAATCCAATTAATTTACGAACTAGTCGAAGCAAATGTGCTACTAACTGAGACATAAATAGCACAAGACTAGACACGAGACACGAGTATCTACAACAGATACTGAAATGCTCGCGCCTCTGCCTGCTCTGCCCTCTCCCACACCACGCACGCTGTTCAGTGTCTGTCTCGCCAATGCCTTTTATAGCCGGTGTTGTGTCTACGTGTGTTCCTGAATTTAAAGTGCTTGTGGTTTGAGAGACTATCGCTTGGGTGTTGACAACGTCTCTGACTGTATGTGTGTATCTTGGATTGACAAATGTACAACAATTAAGTGAGAAGTTTCGGGGATGCGACTGATGCTGATGATGCTGCCTCGAAGTTGTCAAGGAAATTGAAAAGTGAAACCTGCAGCGCACCAGAAACTTTGGCCGGATTTATGTCACAAGTTTTACTTGGAAACTAACGCAAAGACCCCACAAAACCGAGACCCATATCAACATCAATTTCACTTTAATGTTTCCCGTGCATAAAAACAGAAACAAAACCAAAAAAAAAACTTGAAGAAGAGAAATTATGCTAATAAATCGCAGCGACACGTGTCGTCGTACTCTCAACTTAATGGACATGCGCCACGAAATATGCATTGAATATTTTTTACAACATCGCCCGAGTGTTGCACATTCCGGGCGCGGATTATGGACTGCACGTGGTGTTTACACATCATTTACATAAAACGAGCAACATTTCTTGACAAAAAACAGAGCAGCAGCACCCTGAGTATGGGCTGGAAAAACCTGCACAACAAAGTTGTTAATTATACTTGACTGGACGACAACTGCAACCCAAGCCAAACCAAGCCCAACCCCCCTGGCGAAGGCTCGCAACGCTTTGCCCAGTCAAGCGCTGATAATAAAGCGAGCGGCCCTGAGGGCTTTGGGTAAGGAACTGGAACTAGGAACCTGCCCGTTTATGACGTGCCCGAAGTAAAAGAAACCATTAATCAGCGCCTTGGTTAGACTGGGCTGCTCTTACCTCAACACGATTTAGCGCTTTGCGGACTTTGTTTCACTCCCTTCTACGCGATTCTCATTACTAGCTGCTGGTCGCGTGCGTAACATTAAGCAAATACAATATGAGACCAGCGAACGATTTTCAGATAAAGACCATTTAAGTGCACAGAAAGAACAACTTGTATTATAACTAATTGCAGTAATTAATGAGTTTAGTTTACATTTTTGATGAGCCATAATTGAATGGTGGAATGAGAGCGCGCCTTGATTGATAGCCTGTAAACTGATACCAATTTGACTAACTAAGCAGGGGAACTAGTTATTTGTTTAAGTTAGAGGAGACAAATTTAATTGAAGCTGGTTAAGAATAAGCAAAAGAGAGTTTTGATTTATTACAATTTTTTTGGTTTTTTATTTTGTAGCTCTATTCAAGCTTTTATGCATGGCAGAGCAGAATAGTCAAAGGATTAACTCGGATTCGCTGAAAGCTTCGTACGAGTACTCATAACCAAATTGCAAATCTTTTGGAATTCATCATTAAAAATCTGCCTAATATAATAACACTATATTATCAGCTTCAGTCAATCTCCAGACAAAGACTTTAGTTAAAGAAAAATTAATTTTCTTATGAAACTCTACAGTTAAGCAAATTGATATAGAGCGAGTGAGAACATTTTAGCTGTAATTTAATCAACAACTAACAACTTGACTCCTTGACTAGAAAATACTCAAAAATATATGTACACATTAAGTCAGTAAACAAATTTAAAAGAAATAACATAAATTTTGGAAATTGCAAATTCATTTGCAATTCAGCTCAAGTAATTGCAGCGACCATTAAACTAATTGCATACAATTCACATTTGATGGCAGACATTGCTGAAAATGCCCAAATGTTTAATATGCATATAAGAATAAATGGTCACAGATCCAGCAATTGCCAAACGCCCAACGCCCAACCATAGAAGCAGCAGGAGGCGGCAGGCCATATACTGAATGAATGCCATTTGACCTGAGCACCCCCGAAACATATGGCAAATCAAAAGCGGCAAAAAGCGAAAGCAAATTGCTAGAGGGTAGCAGGCAAAACCACCTGTGCAGCAGGCGGCATCAACAACATGCTCCACACACAAAGAGCAATCAAACCATCCGCCATAGCAAAGGCAAAGCAAATTTCATATAAAATTAAATTAGAATTTTCGGTAGTTGTTTGTCTATTTCTGTATGTCTGTCTGTCTGTCTGTTGTTCCTCTCTTTCTCTCTCTCACTCTCTTTGCTCACTCTCTATTGCTCAATTTAAATGAATGGCAAAAGGAAATTGCAGCACGCACGCACATGAAACTCGCTTTCAATTAAAAAAAATATGTAAAAATAAATAAGGATCGTTTTGCAAATATCCTGTAAGCAGATTGAATTTTATAAATTAAAAAAAATATATATATAATAATAAATGTATTTAACTTACATATATTTTTAAAGATTTTAAGATTGATTTTATCATTTCTTAAAATGCAAAATCTTAATTTTATCACTCTCTGCCTGTCCCTCATCTTGTCATAAACACGCCCACTTTCATGCACTTTACAGGGTATACAAATATTGAAATTACACTGCCGCAACATTAAAGTCAAAAATATGTATTCACAAACAGCAGTAGGACAGTTGTAGGCGAGCAATAGGGAAATAGTGTGTGGCAGGAGTTGACTGTCTGGCAGCGACAGGCGCACAGAGAAATGAACAAATGACCGCAGGCAGGCGGCACTCGCATTTGCACGACTGAATGCGTGAGTGTTTGTGAGTGTATCTTTGAGTGTTCTGTGGCGGTTGGGTCAAACGGACTGCGCAAATGCTCAAATGCTCAAATGCCTACGCAACTGGGCGCATTTTCAATTAAAATTTTCTGTTTTTAATCATTTTTGTAAGTTGCATGTTTATTGAAAAAATCCTGAGTTGCGTATTATTTATATATATTTATATATTTTTATCTGGATGTAATGTTTACGACGCGTTGCAATTTAAAATTTTTTTTGATGTTTTGAATCCTGAATTTTGTCTGCGGTTAGCCACGTTAGCGGCTTAGAACATAATTAAAGCCATCCGCAATTATGGTCAAGTCGCTGTCTGTGCTATCCGCCTTGTAATTCTTGTTGTGCCACACATATTCCATTTTCATGGGTATGCTAATAGAGATGCCACCGCCAGAGGACGTGCTTAAGGTTCTGGCACCAGAGCCGCTGACCGTATCTAAGCTTAAACTGGCACGCAGTGTATCAGTATCGAAGGAATCGTCGATACCCCCTTCCAGCCACGGCTCATACCGCACAAGCTCGGTGCTGGGCTCGTCCTTCTCATAGGGGACTATAGCTAGGAAGTTTTCCGTAGTGCTCGTCTCGTCATCCCCTTGACTGGCGGCATCCTGCTGATTATAATTTGTGGCGTCATCGTCCTCGCTCAACGACGATGATGGTAACGATGTCAAAGATGATTGAAAATTTCCGCGAAACTGACTTTCACATTGTGAGACTGTGGGCACATGATCGGTGGCCGAATTGCCGCCAGCCGTGAAGCGCATCAGATGGGATGTGGATTCGTGTAGCATACATGTATTTTGAAATAACACATGCTTAAGCATTATAAAAGATTCACGCATTTCCGTTAGCTGATCCTCGCTGTACTCCGCCCATAGCGGCGATTTGGGCACGGACAGTGCTTTGATCAGGAAATCCAAATCTTTGTCCATCAAGGTCGTGCAAGTTGAGCGAGCGAATCTTTTTCGAATTCCTATTGAAATAAACTACAATTTTTATGAACTATAGAACTTGACGCAACGAATTCAATAATGAATATATTTTATGAATATATTTAGGTATGCTCCATAGGCAGATTTAAATAAACGTTGAATTTAAGAATTTATTTCGTGAAAATCATCTCAAAGCGCAAATTGAGCAACTCACTTGCAAAATGGTTTACGTAAGCCACTTGCATAAAGCACTCACAGCCAGGCACACAGGTCTCTCAAGTGGACAGCAAAGTGCACAGCTAAACGAAGAACAACATCAGCATCTGGAGACAACAACTAACTTGCAGCAGTTTACATTCAACGAGTCTCTAAAATAATACAATTTTCCTCTAAATTTGGTCAAAGATGCCACAAAAATAAACTATGAACCGCATGGACTCAATGTCTTATGCCAATGCAAATGTCCTGTCGCATGGATACATCACAAAACATTGTCCTGCGACCCGCCAACTGCGTTGCTGTTTCTTAGTTAAAGCAAGCCCCAGCTACGCCTCAAGTGTGTCTGGCTGGCTGTATATGTGTGTGTTGGTGTTTAAGAGTGTGTGTGTGTATGTGTGTTTGAGTGTTTGGCATTAGTTGCCTCAATGGTGAACCCTTATGACCAGCTAACAAGCAGGCAAATGTTTTAGAGATGGCCTCAAGTCGTGTCATGAAAAAGTCTAAGGCAGGTTCAAGCAAATACAACATAAGAGAGTTAAGATGTGAATGAAATATAATTATATAAAATAAATTAATATAAAATATAACTAATTAATTTTCAACAATAATTTTTAGAACTTTTTCAACAGCAAGTTTAACTATTGCTGCTTCCAGCTAAATAGCTCTAGATATATCTTGAGTACTTGGCTTAGCAGCCCAGGTGCACTTAGTTCTTAAGTTTACATGATCTTAGTATTTTTTTTTCATTACATTTAAATAGATCAAATACCATATAGTAATCGTTTATTATATATTTATAATAAATACATTAAGGTATTTGACATAACATATAAAAATTGATTCTTTAATGAAGATATTTTTTTTAAAGAAATCTTCATTATAATATTTTAAACTAAAACAAATCAATATTCTATATTTTAAAAATGAAGAATTCAAGTTCTACTGAAAAATTCGCCTGGAAACATATATTTCCGGAACAGCCATGGATGCTACACTGAAGACATAGCCTCGATTGACTTATCAAATATATCTATCAGATCATGCTTACTCAGCTCTCATTTAGTTATACTGCTCTCTCTCTCTCTCTCTCTAAGCACTCTCTCTCCCCTCATAAGCCATCTCATAAAATTCTCATTCTCCTCCAAATCCATCTTCTGCTTACAATTTATCATATCGCATTCCACTTCAGCTTTCAGCACGTGGCCATCTCTAATGCAGAGCCTGCTCATAGTCAAGTATATGATGCGAACAGATCCTTGATGCTCCTGAGTTGTGTGCTAGCTTGTTTATTTGTTTACTTTTTGCCATTTGGCTGTGTGCAAGTTTTCTTTCAGCTTTCTTTCATGTCTGTCTGTGTTGTTGCTGTTGCTATTGCTATTTCTTGCTTTTTTATTTTATTTTCTTTTTTTCTCACACTGTCATGAATATTTTCGTATATTCATATTTTCGTCCGGCTGCATGTGAATTTTCTGCTCTACACTGGCAATTGGGCGCAAAACTTTTAGCTGCTTGGTTCATTGCTGTGGCTGTTGCTGTTGCTGCTAAGAAGGACGCATGTGTAAGACCCATGTTATTTAATAGGCTTTTGTGTCTTTGCCAACGCTGTTTACTTCAAGTGCCTGCCACGCCCCAAGCCCAGTAGCTTGCCCTCTGTTTGTCTTGTTTGTCTGGCCACATTTGGTTTGCTCTGCGCTGCCTTTGCTCTTTCTTTCTTGGTAATGCGTTTAGATTATTAAACATATTTGAACAGTCTACTTGATGGAAGACTTTATGGTGTTTGCTAGAAAATTGGAACTTGCAGAAACTGCGACTTTTTATTTTCTGAAACTAAAGTTTGTATTTCTTAGCATTCAATTTATCATTGGCAGTTTAGAGCTCCTCGTTTCATGTGCTTACTGTATGCCTCAATATATTTTATAGCCCGTCTTCAAGCGCTATTCGAAATGCTTTGGAAAGCAACTGCCGCTCTTAAAGTGTTTAGTAAAAACGCACAGGCACTGCTTCTAAGTAGGTCAAGCCATTAAAATTGCTACTAAATACACACCCACACACTCCCTCACTCACACACACACATGCACATTCTAGCTCCGACTCCCTGAGTGCAGATTTATGTATTGTGGTTGGAGTTTTCGCTCTTCTATGGTTTTTCCTGTCGTTGTTTAATCGTTAAAGGACTTGTTTTGTTGCCATTGCTTTTAGTTAAAGTTCCGGGCAATGCGTTGACATTACAAGCAAGCAGGGGAGTTAACACACACACCCACACACACGCACACACACACACGTATGAAGCCATCACAACAGAGGGCGCCACCTGCTACGTGGCAGTTGCTTTAGTTTGACTTTGTTGCCCTCGCACAGTTTGTACAACGCAAAAGTTGCCTGCTAAATGCTTTCTGATTGTTATTTCTCGTGTTTTCGCCAAGCTCCACTGTTGCCACATCCAAATTACAATTATTACATGCCACTGGTTCCACAAGCTCCTCTCACTCTCTTCTTGCCCTTAGATACTTTTGCAGTTTACTTCAGCCTCAGCAGCTTTTCTACGAGGAAAACTTTCCATTTTAAGTTTGGCTGAGTTTTGCTTTCTGATTCTACAAATGCAAAATCTGGCAATATAGGCGTGTTTAACATAAACTTAAGCTGTTTGTAATGACTTCGTAGCGTTTTTTCTGCTCCCAACTCCCTGGAGCACTGCCTTTAAGCCATGGCAAATTTAATGAAAAAACTTTATGACTCAGAGACGGCTTGGGATAACAATTAAATGCTGGTCAAGTAAAAGAGTTTTACAAGATAATGCGCGATGGAAAAGCGAGCTGAAAGCGTAAGTGAGTTGAAAGGATTTTCTTAAAATTTCTTAAAACGTTTGTTAAAAATTTTTTATGAATAAAATAATTTTGCATAAGGAAAAAAAGAGTTTTGTTTGAAAAGGATTATTATAAAAGGTATTCAAAATATATAATAATTTAATATAATATATTCTATTCTAGACTAAAGCATCTCTATCTCTGGCTTTTCTGAGAGACAAACTTTTCAGAGATAGATATCATTTTACCTGGACTAGAATTTATTTTAATATTTTATACATTTTAAATATTATTGTTTTTATTTTTTATATATATATACTATATATATTATTAGGCTATCCATTTACATCTACATTTTATTGTAAATTTAACAAAAATTTAAATTAATATACTTCAGCTTTTAGACTTGCGCAGTTGCTGCCTCTAGATACTCTCTTACTTTTAATTTAGCCAATTTTTCTTAGGGCTATCTTAAGAGCAAGCCCAAGGCCCTCAGCATTTGCTGTTCATTAGCGATAACAGCGTTGAGAAATAAAGCCAAATCGTATCATTAACTCGCCAAAAAGAGAGCGGCAGGAATACCTTTGGCCGGATAAGCAGCTCATTACTCAAATGCAGGCTGACGCATGTATAAAGGCCGGCAAAAAAGGGAAAATGTCAGGTCAAAAATGGACAGGCTATGTATGTGTGTGTGTGCTTGTGTGTGCTTGTGTATGTGTCTGATCTGGTTGTGATTTACAGCGCCCGGGGCCAAGTGAGCAAAAGAAATTGCTGGGCTCAGCAAATGGCAGGCTTACAATAAAACATAATAATAATTTGTTATAAAAAGCAAAGCGCACAGAGATAAACAAAATAAATGACAAAGGCATGTCAGCACAAAAGGCGAAAACCAAAGAAGCCAAAATGAGCAAAGAAAACTCGAACTCGCTGCACAAAGAAAAACAAACTAAAGACAATTTTTGGGTTACCCTCGGCGACTTGTGCAACCCTCAGCAGTTTTTTTTTCTGCTTTCCATTTTTTTTTTGCTTTTACGCAGCTCCTACTAGAGACATTTGCATAAATTATCATTTGTTTAACATGCCTAGCAGCCCGCCCTGCTCGAAACAAAAAAAAAATGTATATAGAATAGATGTGGAAGTCTCATGGCAGAAGATACCTTGAAATGGGAATGGCAATGGAATCAACGCGGACTCTGCGTTTCTGTCTAAAGGCAAATTGGTAATAAAAGCCAAATGCATAAAATAACATAAAACAAGAATTTATGTGCACAGCAACAACAGCAACAGCAACAACAACAACAAACATCAAGCAAATTGCAATAAAATGCAAATTTAAAAGCTAAAAACGAATTGAAATGCGCCTTAAAGTCGACTATGGACCACGTTCTAGTTGAAGTTTTTAATATTTTATGCTTAATTTTGTTGAAATTTACCATCAAATAAAACAGGAATATCAAACGCCGCTAACCACAAGAAGGGTTAAGCGTTTCGCGCTAGCCGAATGCTAAATACACTAGTAGAAGATGTATGAAATTGTAATGAAACTTTATAATATTCTAATAAAGTAACTTATTAAATTATTATAAAAAGCAAATTTTTTAAACATTTTTAAAGTTGATTCTCAAATATCTTATTATCTTTCCTTTAAAAATAAAACCCATCAAATATTTTTTATATCACCGAATTTTTTGAACTTATTCAGTTCTTCCTTCGATGTCCTCTCAATCACTTAATTGTATATACAACAGGAGAAGCCTAATATTAAACCATTCTCACTTCAACTACCAATATAATATATATTTATATATACAAACTGCTCTCAGCTATTAAAGCTTCTCCCACTGTCTTTCAAAGTCCATAACAAAAACAAAACACTCTTCAGTAGAGTATCTATTGGAGTAAAGAAGGGGGCGCACGCTACAGGCTGGCTGTTTATTTTGACAAGGGGCAGCGGGGAGGTGGAGAGGGCAGTTTGAGCTTTGCTGGCGTCGTACGTTCGGCGGGCCTACACTGCTGCCCCCTGCTCCTAATAAAATGTCTCGCTCGTCTCTT